TAATAAAATAAATGTCTGTTCTGTTCATAACATTTAAAGTTTTATTTATTATTATTATAATTGTTCTTATAAACTTACTTCTAAACAAATGACATACATAAAATTTAGATACTTAGCATAATAATTGTCATATTAAAAAATAATGAGTAACGAGGAAGAAATTGTTTTATTGTGTTGCGGTACAATTTGTATAACTATATTTTGTAAACCCCCTCCGAAATTGTATTTTGTATACATGCCTGACCTATAGTACACATCAACCGTTGCTAAAAGTAACTATACTACCTAATTAATACATAGCCATTACAATTTAAAATTAATTAACTATATAAGTTAGATACCTATATTTATAAATCTATAATGGATATATAATATTATATATATTATATCTACCACTATTTACTAACGTTCGTTGCTAAATAACCAAGTCATAACCATAAAGTCATATAGACTACATTTTTATGTCAACATAAATACATAATAATAATTAATATATATTATCATAGTTATGATATTATAGGTATTCAAAAAATATTCATATCAATGAACAAAATAAATCAACAGTTAAGCTTAATTAATATAATAATCTCCAAATTTCGTACTTAGTCAGGTTGGCCGAGCGGTCTAAGGCGCCAGATTTAAGCTCTGGTTCCCAAACGGGAGCGTGGGTTCGAACCCCACACCTGACAACAATTGTTTGTAATATTTTGTTAACTTTTTTTATCTATTATCGAATAATATTATGCATAACTATATTAATAAATACCTAAACAATACAGCTAATAATTAATCAAATACTAATTATTATAAATGTTTCATTACGTATAGTAAAATATTCATAAATACTTAAATCACCATAATTAATATTGTTTAATTATAACAAAATAACTAAAAAGTAATATGTAACGTTACAAAACTTTGTTTAAATTTCGTAAAAATGTGATTTAAAATTATGTTTATATATTTATTAGATTTTTGAGTTTTCGTAAAAACTATTTTTTTTTAACCTGCATTACACCCGGCACCTGGTATGACCATGAAGTAATACTTTAGGTGTCAGGTCACCATAATTTATTTAAGAAATGATACATACACGTTGATTGGGTGCAAGCAGGACAACACCCCCGTTTACAGTCCCTCACAACAAACATAAGAATAGGGAAGTCTAGATTGACCGGAGCCGCGCTCCTCGCTTCCTCTCACAACATAGATGGCAAAAACAAAAGCTTATAGGGCCTGCCACCTGTAGTCGAACATGCAGCAGGCTGCCCGTGTTGAAGGGACCGATACCTAAGACAACAAGGCGCTCCCTGTCACACTCTAACACTTCGTAACACATGAATGTATGAAAATGAAACGAATCGTCTTCCTCACCTTCCAACTCATCGGTTGGTCAGCAGTGAGACACCCGATGGAGGGTGCACAATCGATCGTGTGAAGGAACCAGTCGAAGCAGCCGTGCCTCGTCATGAGCTAGGTGAGGCGGAAATGCAAAATGTCGTCTTCCGATGTGGGTGGTTCACCCATTGGGCTGAGCAGACCCGACGGGATCAGTTCCCGAGTCCACTCCTCGCTATAGTTGCAGACTCGCAGACGTCTCTGTTCGCCGATACCTGCGAGCCCACTCCATCACCGTCCAATCCTTCTCCAAAGGTACAACCAGCAGTGTATAAATACTATAAATACTTATAAATATGCCTAGGTAATATATATATGTATACGGCAATATATACCGTATAATATTCTATATACCAATTTTAAATAATATTTCAAGTATCATAACACGGTTAAGTTTATAATAGGTAATAATTAAAAACGTTTATTTTACAATTGTTTTCATTATATTTTGCCTTTACTCTAATAAATTTAATATATTTATTAAAATTATATGATTATAACAGATAACAGCCCACGCTCCACTGAGAAAAGTTCTGATATCCCATCACCATGGTATATTACTAAATAATGTAGATTGTAGATTTAAATTTATTTTTAAGCCTACAATGATAGATTTTAAAGGCTAAAAATTGTAGTACGTATAAATTTGATACCTATTCTATTGATATTTGCACGCATTCGATGACGCTTGTAAAATATAATTTTGTAATTTTACGTTTTAATAAATTAATTTTTGTTATAATTTAGAAGTCAAAACCTAACGCCAACTGGGATGTTGCCATACATATCAAATTTCAACCATAACCTTATACAACATCCGGTGGTCACATTATTTACACAACTCATGCAAAAAATAAATTCTAATAAAAGTATTGTAAAATAATTTGTATTCATTTCGAAGAAAATAAAATTAAAATAATATTTTATAATAACTAATCATTTTTGACAAAAGTTCTAGTTCAAAAAATATATATTTAGTATTTACTATTCTATATATAATACCTATAGTTATAAGTATGTTATTTTATTAAAATTATTGTGTCTTATGTAATAACTATAAATAATAAAAAATTGTAGCTGGTAATCGCTCTACTGTTTAATTAATGTCAAATATGTTGAAGTGTATCTCGAAATTGAATAAGTAATTGTAATGTATCTGAATGTGTTGTATTTAATGATTATAAATCATTACACACGAAAAACGGTTCTGAGTAAAGACGGTCTGTCTGCCTATCATATTGGCTAGGTATTACCAAATATATTTTATGATAAACTTATTTTTATTATTGTTATTAAATTAATTTTATTTTTAGTATTACGATACATTCATTTAATTTTTGGTGAATTAATTTAGATTTTGGTTTATGTATGAAGTATGAATTACTAATAAAGAACCTTGTATTACATTTTCAAGTATTAGGAATAAAAACAAACGTTTTTATGAATTTTTAACTACAAAATAATTTGTTAATTTTCACGATTTTTATGAAATTTTTCAACATTTTAACTTTAAATGCTCATTAAAAAATACTGTGATTTTTGATAATTTTTAATTGAGAAATTAACAACTTACAAAAGGCTTTATATTAATTTTCAAGCATTTCAACCCAATGAATAATTTTTAATCAACATTTAGAAAAAAAAACTTAAAAATTGAAAATTTCTTATGCCTTAGTAAGTAACTCAAAAATTGTCAAAATATTTTGAAATTTTGATTGTAAAACGAAAATAAAAATATAAATATTTAATGAAGATCTCATCTATCTACGTTAATTTATTTTCAAGTTATACAAAAATAAAACAAAATAGATAATGTCAAAAATTGAATTTACATAAAAATTACCATTTTTACTATCCCAAAAAGTAATAACAGACAGAAAAATACACATCATTGAAAAATCAATAAATTCATCGCTCCATTCAGAATCTAAAATAAACTATATATTGGTTTATAGACAATCTGAACTCAGAATTGTTTTTCATAATCAACAATTTATGTATATATAATATTATTAGATCCAAATTTAACTCATCGATTACATTGACTAACTTGACAGTTACTGTAAACTGTAAAGCAAATTTGTAGATACATACTTTCCCATATCTATAATTAATATATTTACTACATTGTGGAGACTGACAAAAATATTTTATAATGACAATTTAAGTTTTAGAGCATAAATAGGTACATTAATTTTTTTTAAGGCATATTTAGTAGATTTTCAAAGCATTAAATTTTTAACTTTAATCTTAAAAAATTATACATTAAATACCTTAGATTAATATGATATATAAAAATATTATTGATATTGACTAGAATATAGAAAGTAAATTCAATATATAATTAGATAATATAATGTAAGTATGTGTGTTTATTGAAATGAATACCTATTAAACAATTGAACTCCACACTAAGCAACTATGACGTAGATACCTATATAAAATGACCAAAATATTCGATTGAAAAAGAATTCGTCACGAATATCGTAATGTTATTATTAATATAACTTTTAAAAACCTTGGGAGTATAACATACTAGAAATCTATCAACATATAGGTACTCGTGTATTTTATTTTCACACCGATTTATGTTGATAAATTATTTCTAGAACAATATATTTTATAATTTATAATATAATAATACATAATATTACTTAATAATTATTTTTGAAAAATCCAACGATCAAATACAAAAAATTACAATAATAATAAGTAGTCAAATTGTTAATAACAAGGGTGTTAGGATTTCTATGATTCTTAATGACTTAACTACTTATCAAATTTCTGTATCTAGCTATTTTACCAATTTTTCGTACCTACTGCACATATTTTAGTTAGAACCGAAGATTAGTTTATAGCCTAGATATAGACTTTAGGTCTATGTTTAGAACATTTTATCTTTTTATACTATCAATCATAAAGATTAATAAACTTAATATTTCTTAAAATAGTTAAATTATATTTCATATTTAATTCTCAAGAAAATTAACGATCTGTAATAAAGTTATTATATACCTAATTAGATACGCTAAAATGATTTTCTTATAGCAATTTTTTTTTATATTGAGAATTCCTAATATACCTAGAAAGCTTATTTACTATAGAATATAACAATATTTTAAATTATAATAATAAGGTCATAGTTTCGTACTACCACTGGCTATTAGTATTATCATTATATCTATAGGTATTGTTAAGTATTGTTATAAGAAATCCTTAGTTAGAATCATGAATTAATTATGATGACTATAAAATTACAATAATTATACAAAAACATAATATAATATCAAAAGGCAATATTCCCATAAATCGAGTTTGTTCAATATGTGCCTATAACTGCTAACCCAGCAAACGTACTATTACCTACCCGTATTTATTTATTTTTTTTTTTTTTGTGGTATCTCATCAAAACAAAAACTAATGGGAACATCAATAAAATCCAATATTATGTGAATATGGATAGCTTTAGTAGTTTTTTGATTTCCAAGATTTTTGAATATTTACAAGCCCACAATGATTTTTGTACATAGGTAGATTATAATATAGAAGATAGATATCATAATTCATGGTTACAAGTTACAACTACTGCTAGTTCAACAGAACGCCTGGCTCGGTTCTTATCAAAAATACGCTGAGTCGGTTTTATTGTTTATATACGATACGATTATGACACTTACATGCGATTATGCGGATTTTACACAAAATTCAAAATTGTTGTCATTGGCAAAAATTTTTTAACTTTATGAAATAAATATTTCTTATTCACAAGCAACCATTTTTTCGATTTTTATACTTAAAGTAATAATTAATTCTTACATCGTTTTTCGTACTATGTGATTGTGTTTTAGTATTCATCAACAAGGGATATATAATACTGTCTATACATATTGTTTTTTTTTGTTTGTCAATGGTGCATATTAAATTTCTGGTGCTCTAAATAGTTCTTATAATGAAATTCTGTTATTAAATCAGTCATTCCAAGTATGGAAACCAATCATCCAGAGTCAACGACGCAAGTTGATGCCATGGACAACATCAAACATGATCGTTCTACAAACTATGGTTCCCTGATTAACAATATAAGGTAAAAATTATGTATTCAGTTTTAAAAAATTGTGACTTACTAATGATAGTAAGTATCTGCATTTTATTTTTATGTATCTTTCAATAAGACTTAGTCCTTCAAGTTTAGAGGTCAGAAAATAATTTACATTGTCTATTATCAATTTGGTATTTAGGTACTTATTGTTATTTATTAAACCAAAAGTCAACTAATGATCTCTTGAACAAAATTTAGTGACTCATGATTGGGCCATTAAGTTAATCAATTTTTTATGCAAAATGGTGTTAGGATTTTTAATATTGTATTATAATATTATAGTTTATTATTGTCCTTAAATGTATTTTTTTAGATTTTTAACATTATAACACTTTATTTTACTACTATAAATTTTATTTAGCTAATTAAGATATGAATTTAAAAAATGTATGCTTTATTAATGATTATTAGTAAAAATAAATTACTCACAAGCATATTATTCTTGTTCTATTTACAGTCATATGCCAACATTTGGTCTACCAGCAAGTGCCTATGAATTAAATTCTAGTGCAAGATTAACTATAAGATTTGATAGAGAAATGTTCAACAGTAGTCTATTTGAGAATGAAATAGAAATCAGTCCAGCATTTCGATTTAATAGAAATGATTTATTCAGACCTCCCCAGTAAGATATAAATAAATTATAGTTTTATTTAGCTATTAACTAATTTTATTGAATAGCTTTGATTTCAGTCATAGAAGTAGCACACTACTGAATGGACAATTTTCTACACCCAAAGAAATGGTTCAAAATTTAGATACCAAAAAGCATTTACAAGAGTTTGGTTTAAAAAAATCTGAGGTTAAAGCCAAACTATTTAAATGTGATGTGTGCAAAAAATCATTTTCTAGTTCTGGTGGATTGACTGTCCATTATAGAACACATACAGGTAACAAACCTTTCAAATGTGATTTATGTAATAAAACTTTCTCAAATTCAAGTCATTACAATTACCACATGCGTGTACATTCAGGAGATAAACCATTTAAATGTCATGTGTGCAACAAAGAATATTCTTGTGCTAATGGTATCTTATACCATCAGAGAACCCATCACTTTTTACAAGATACAAAACCTCTAAAATGTGATGTATGTGACAAACTGTTCTCCAGCATTGGTGGTCTGACTGTTCATTATCGCTCTCACACTGGTGACCGCCCATTTAAGTGCGATGTGTGTTTTAAGACATTTACAAGTTCCAGTCACTGCAAGTATCATCAGAAAACTCATTCACAGTTGATAACAAAAAAAACCTTGAAATGTGATATTTGTAACAAATTATTCTCCAGTTCAGGAGGCCTTGTAGTTCATTATAGAATGCATACAGGTGATCGTCCATTCAAATGTGAAGTTTGTTTCAAATCATTTACCAGTTCCAGTCATTTCAAGTATCACCAAAAATCACATGTGATTTCAAATGATAAAAAAACATTGAAGTGTGATGTATGCGATAAATTATTTTCTAGTGCTGGTGGACTAGTTGTTCATTACCGTACACATACTGGTCACAGACCATTCAAATGTGATATTTGCTTAAAATCTTTTACTAGCTCAAGTCACTTTAAATATCACCAAAAAACTCACATGGTTAATGTTTAATGTAGCATAAATATATTTTAGCCAAGAGAAACTAATAACTTATTAAGTTATTATATTTATATTTTGAAATTCTTACTTTTTAATTCAGTAAATATACTATTAGTTATGAATTAAACTTTTTTCCTTTACTCAATTTATGCTATAATATTTTTTCTATTTGTAATATGTACAGAATCAATGTTTTACAACTTTTTTTTATTTTATTAGTCATTTTAATTATATTAATATTCGAATATAAAAACACAATATTTCATAGGTATACTTTATATATTTGTAAAAATTGTATCAAGTATCAATTTATTTATAATATATTAGTAATTTTATTTAATCGGCGAACATAATATTTATATCCAAATATTGTAATATATAAAATAAGAATTATTTGATAATGAACATCAATGTCAATGTTTCATTGTTTATAATGTTGATTGTGAAATTATTGTTTTCAAATGTTTTGTTACTAAAAATCTGTATATCAAATCACACCGATAAAAATATTTAAAACAAATTATTGGAAATTATTTAATTATATCTAATATTAATACTAATGTTTGATTGTTTATATTGATTGTACATTTTTAAATTTGAATTTATTGCTCATTGAAATTTTATTATTTTAAAATCTCCATTCTTGGCATTTTTTTAGTATTTCGCTTTTTTCTTTAAATTAGAAAAAATTAAATTCTAATTTATGGTTTTATTTACTGCTTATTATGCCTTACATACCATACCTATTTGACTAGATTATTGTCATACCTCTAAAAACAAAATATTAATAGCACTATTTAATTGTATAATAAAATTTATCAACATGACATTTTATATTTTGATAATTATTAATTATAGTTGGTTATTTAGATTTGTATAATTATTTTAATTTATAGACTGTCATTATATTTAATTGCAATACTTAATCAAAAATAATGTTTACCCCATTTGGCAGAATAAATCAGGATAGAGGTTAAAAACTTGAATTGAGAATTTTAAAAGTAGTATATAGTATCTCGAAAATTGTTGATGTCTTTTAGATATTTAAATTTTGAATAGTTATAAAAGAACGTTATAGAAATGAACTAATATTTAGAAAGTTATAATATGTGTAGTTGTCACTTATTAAACTAAATAATCTGTTAATTTTACTAAACTCTTTTCAAAAATAATTTATAGTGTTAGCGTGCACATAAATGCATAAATCTTGTGTAAATAATATTTTTGTTAATCTTGCTGATATAAATTATTAAAATATAAACAATTTGTTTTTTTAATAAAAACTTATTAAATCTATTAACTTCCTTCAAGTACACAAAATAGAAATTTACAAATACACAATAATAATATTTTTAAATTTTAGATTCTAAGCTAAATGATGAATTAGACCCATTGGGGATTGGTTTTATGACAAACTGTTTTTTTTTTTTTTTAATCTACGGTCTCAGTCTTTACTCGTCATATTAGTTTTGTGTTTTATTTTTCTGTCCACTATATCACATTTATTTTAAAAAAATCTCAAACCTTAAACATTAAGTATGATCTCAGCCTTCTGGTTGCTAATATTAAATCTAATTAATACTTTGTGGTATTAAAATAAGAAGAATATTCATACCCAAAATTTAAAAAAAAAACTAAACGTAATTCCACAATATTTTTTTATAAGCGTCTGAAGCTTAAATTTTTACGAAATAAAATACCTAAGTATCTACCTATTCACGTATAAGCTAACTATTTTCTTCATTAATTGTTCCTTATTCAAAAACGAATTACCGTAGAGATGTAAAGAGGTATTTGAAATATTCACCAAAACCAAATGTTTATATTATTATTTTCTATACACGTTAAATTAATTGTTGTTAATGGGTATGTAATATTGACAATATTATTATGAAATATTTATAATTTATAAATTTATAATATATTTTAAACCATTTTAGCATTTTACCGTATTACTAATGAGTAATGGTATAATAAATTTTAAATAACCAATTTAGTAACTAACTACCTAGTTACATTTAAGTTTGAGATTTGAATAACCATTCTATACAGTCTACAACTAGTAACTACTCAGAATTCAGATTTACATATTCACGATCATGGCTACAAAACAAACATCAGGTAGCCACTAGCCAATTGGCAATTGCCACAGATATATACTAATAGTATTAGTGTATATCTGTGGCAATTGCATCGTTTCCCTCTTTTTTTTTTTCAATGATTATTATTCCCTTTTTTTTTTTTTTTAATCTTTCCATTAAAATTATACAAAGATAATAGTATAAGGAAGTTATAAAAAACACTAACCATGGTATAACCTCAAAAAATGATCATGGCTCATCTTTATTTTGTATTTTTACCGCTAAAATGCTCGCACAATTACTGTTATAGTGTTATTGTGATTTGTGTCTACTTTTTTAATTTAAACAGTGTTCTACTCATCTACTCTAAGTATTAACTGTCTTATGTCTAGAGAGTAATATCTATTGTGTTTTGACAATTTCGAGTTTCGAAATTTTAGTTACTAGTTATAAATTTCAGATACATGGTCCATACATAATTTAAGAATTTAATACAGTGTTTTATCAATGTTGTCATTGTCATTTGAATTCTACATCGAATGCTAGTATAATAACCTCATTTTCACTCAAATATAGTTTTAAAAAATTTTGTTATGGGTATTACTGGTTTAGCAAAACTTATAGCAGATATTGCTCCAAATGCCATTAAGGAAAATGAAATTAAAAATCATTTTGGTAAGTTATTATACAATTAATAAACAGTTAACATAAAAAGTAATGGCAACACTTTATAACAATAATATGTTTAATTCCATCTTATGGATCTCCTCAAAAGAAGATGGCTGTTCAAGAGGAAATAAATTCCAAACTAATAATAACTATTACTTAAAATTAAGTAAATAAGAAAATTAGTTGGTTTAATAAATCAGCTTTTGTAATGTTGGTATTAATATAAAGTATTAATTCTTATACTTATACATTTTTTAAATATTATGAGTGTAGTATACATACGATTAACACGATCAATCTTATATTTAATTTATATGGTTGATTTTAGGCCGAAAAATTGCAATTGATGCTTCAATGAGTCTTTATCAGTTTTTGATTGCAGTTCGTAGTGAAGGAGCACAACTAACAAGCGCTGATGGTGAAACTACTAGGTATTTATTAATATTAAACAATATAATGTATAATAAAATTAATCAAATATGTGTATGTGTTTGTCCCAGTCATATTATGGGCACATTCTATCGTACAATAAGACTTTTAGAAAATGGTATTAAACCAGTTTATGTATTTGATGGTAAACCACCTCAAATGAAATCATCAGAATTAGAAAAACGAGCTGATAGAAGACAGGAAGCACAAAAATCATTAGAAAAAGCAGAAGAAGCTGGTATTATAACATACTATAATAGGCTAAATTATATATATAGCTAATTTTAATTTACTGTTTTATAGGTGATGCAACTGGAATTGACAAATTCAGTAAACGATTGGTAAAAGTAACATCTACTCATACTACCGAATGCAAAGAACTACTAAAATTAATGGGAGTTCCTTTTGTGGAAGTATGTTTCATATCTGTATACCTAATCTAATATCTACTAAACTAGTGATACACGATGTGATTATAAAATAATGCAATTTTGATTATGGTCTACGCTATACATCATATGCCTTAACTATATTATCAATAAGGTTCATCAAATATATCTACTATAATTATATTAACTCTTAGCATGTATATCTTATGCTTACTGAAGATCTGTCTGTAAACAATTTATAATCATACCATGGGTGAATAATAACTTTGTCTCTTATAATTTAATGTTTATAATAATACAAATGTTAATAAAGTCAAGTATATAAATTATTATAAGTAATATAAATCAATTTGGTTAATTGTAAGCATTAATTATATTCAAGATAGGTACTAATTAAATTTAAAAAATATAAGATAAATTGAAAATACATTTTTATAAAATGAATATACAAACTTAAAAAAAAATTTGAAACAATTTTGTTATAATCAAGAGATTGAAAATGTCCACTGTCAAATATAATAGCAACAATTTTTTTCTCTATAAACAGAGGTTCTCAATCCGAATAATGCAAAGTGTGATCAATATACAGCATATTTTGTACCATATGACGTCTTGTACATACATTAGAATGAATTTTATATTAAATGAATTAATGATTATATTTTTATCAAAGTTATTTATTTGTATTGCATAGTAGGTTATTATAAAATGTAAATACATTAACAATTCAAAATATACCCACTTTTTTTCATTATTTTGCAGTCATTTTATAAATATATCATTAGGAGTGTTTGTATCAACAATCAATTTTCATTCTCCCAACTATAGCACTTATTTCCTTCAAGTAAACACAATATTTACGATGAGTCAAAAAATCAATAGAATTTATTACTACCTTAAATCATATTGTGTCATTGATAGACAAAAATCAAATGTAATATAGTTATTGTGTTTATATAATTTAAATGTATCTGAAAAAAAATCCCAAAACTATACTCTTATTAGTAAATAGAAAATTATAAATTTTTTCTTTATTTTACTATTTGAGAGCATAAAATAATTTTTTATCTAAGATAGCATTGTATAGGATCAAAGAAAAAAAAATTCGAAAGTCATCAACATCCTAATGCTAGCATAATACAATTGTAGTTACCAAATATCATTGTAAGATTATTTATTTTATAGGCTCCATGTGAAGCTGAAGCACAGTGTGCTGCTATGGTAAAAGCTGGTAAAGTATATGCCACTGCTACTGAGGATATGGACGCTTTAACATTTGGTTCTCCAGTTCTATTACGTCATATGACATTCAGTGAAGCCAGAAAAATGCCAATTCAAGAATTTCAATTAGATTCAGTATTGGAAGCAATGGAAATGTCTAGAGATGAAGTAATTTTAGTTAAAAATTACTTTTGTTAACTCAAAAATAAATGTATGTAATGTATTTTTATTTTTAGTTCATAGATCTGTGTATACTGTTAGGATGTGATTATTGTAACAGTATTAAAGGGGTTGGGCCAAAACGAGCTATCGAGCTAATACGACAATACAGATCATTAGAAAATATCATTGAAAATTTAGATACTAAAAAATATCAAGTACCTGAAAATTGGCCGTATAAAGAAGCTAGACGGTTATTTATTGAACCAGAGATAACAGATCCTGAATCTATAGATGTAATATTTTATTTTATTTTATTTTATTTTATTTTATTCATAAATACAGTACAATCTCAAAAACTGATGACTTTAAAATACATAATAATATTGATTCAATACACACAAATTATTAGATATGTACGAGTTAAAGTAGAAAAGTGGGGTTATAGTTTGTGTTATGCATAAGCTAAATAATCATTACTATATAGAATGGTATATGTGAGCAGGTAAAGAAAAAAGTTACATTGAAAGTTATAAGTGTTGAAGAATCAATTTTACTATTGGAAATTGGATACAAAATTAATTTGTCACATGTCTACAATTAGCAAGGCTTGAGAAATTTATGGAATCTTAATTCAGGATGTTGTTTAATTGAAAGAAAATAGATTTCTAGTCTAGACACAATTACATGTAATATTAGTTTTTCAACTCTTTCAGCCCTATTAAAGGCATACACTAAAATTAGGAACTTGACATGATGTCAACAGAATTTATGAGCATGGCTAAAAAGAGAGATGACCTTGGAAGACCCCTGATATCTGAATAAACATTTTGTAGATGAACTATGTACAAATATATATAGGATTTATATATAAAAAAATGTTTAATAGCTTTTTTAATAATGGATTTTTTACTAATATACGAATCACTCAACATTAAATATTTATTTATTTTGTTTTTCATAAAACTCATTAATATGAAATTATCACTATATTTACATTTAAATAATCGATTTAGTTAAAATGGATAGATCCAAATGAAGAAGGATTAGTCAAATTTTTATGTGGTGATAGAGGGTTCAATGAAGATAGAGTAAGAAATGGCGCTAAAAAGTTAATCAAAGCACGATCAGGTACAACTCAAGGCAGATTGGATTCATTTTTTACTTTCTCTACTAAGCCAAATAAGCGTAAAGTAAGTTAATTTAAAAATTTATAGAAGCAACGTTAATTTTTAAACAAAGTTTTAAAGAATATATTTTAAATAATGTTCAGGATTTTAAATTATAAATTTACAAATAATAAATATATTATATTGGTATTCAGTAACTTAGTAATTATTAACTAGTAAATATATAGTATACTCTGTTTCATTTAAGATTTTCTCCTGGTTTGGCTAGATCACACTCAATATTTTGATTTTTGTTATCAGTTTTTATTTTCAATGATTGTCTATAACCAAAAAATGTCTATCTTTGCAAAAAGTAAGTTAAATAGTTATTGAATTATAATTCAATATAATAAAAGTATATTAGCCACTGCCATTTTCAGATGCCAACTGCCAAATACTATTCTTGCCTCTTATATTAGACAAAGTATACAAGTATATTATAGAATTTTTTTTTTAATGAACTAAATTTATAAATAATTTTATTACTTAATATATGATAAATGATAAATAACTACATAATGCATTTTTTATTTTTAGGCTGAGGAAGCAAAAGCAGCAGCAGAAGCTAGTAAGAAAGCAAAAAAAGGAAATTATAGCAAACGGGGTAGACCAAAATAAATCACTTAAATTTTATTTGTTTAATAGTTGTTTTTTTTTTAAATTAAATATTAGATTTACTCATTAAATTAGTTTCTATAAATTCAATAGAATTTTAATTTATAAGCTATTGAAGTTTACTCTTATAAGTCTAATATCTAACACATAAAAGGTTTTTTGACAATAAAAGATCTCTTTTTTTCACAATTTTTTAATTATTTAAAATACTTAACAATTTAATATATTTTCCTAACTTATTTTTATTTATAGACACAATTTAGCTAGTTTTATTTAATAAAGTAATAGATTATATTTATGTCAACTATAAAACGTTAAATCAATACTTATGTCTAGAGAGAGCTAGAATTTATAATATGCAATTAATATTATATACGCCAAAAACTATGAAATATTCACTCAAAAAAAAAAAAAAAAATCATACTTTTTAAAATTAATAAAATAGTATTATTAACTATTTATGCTGTTCAAATGTACATAAAAAATTATATGATGTCTTGAATTTTTAAAACTGAATGAGCTTTTGTTAAACCTTAATATGCTCTTATACTCGTATAGGTATTTATAAACAGTGTGTTAATTCATATTGTCATACAGGCGTATCCAGAATTGTTTTTAGGAAGGGAGGCACACACTGTCAAAAATTTTACCAAATATACTACCAAAAAGAAAAAAAAAATCAAGCGGGCCAAAAGCATAGAAAGCAAAGAAAAAAAAGATTGTCAGATAAAAAGGTTTGCGAGCCATCAGTTAACCAAAAGGCTAATATTCTCGGTAATAAAAAAAAATATGAAATACGGTGAATGGGGGAGATACGGGTCGCACGACTCCCTTAAATACGCCTCTGGTCACACGATAATAACTTCTTTAGTCGGAGGCACAAAATATGAGCGTTGGCCCCCACGACCTGATCTTCGTATTTACTGTGTTAGTCATTGGTTCAAAATACTTTACTGTCGCGCTCTAGTTATGTGTAAAAAAAAGGTTTTTAGTTTAATGATTTGATAATCACGTAAGAAAATCTACCGCTTGGCGCATGACAGACAACGCTGATTTTCGTGACTCGACTATAGTAACGAAATGTAACATAACTAGAACATGCATTTTCGCGTTTTTATGGGTCGAAATAGACATTAATATTAATTTTATTCAAATATACAATATAAAAGCACCATTGTTAATCTCATCATGAGATGATTCGTGGGCATTACTAGGTACAAAGCAATAATCAGAAGTTGTATAAACAACATGCTGTTGCATATAATCTAACCGACTTAGCCCTACTTATGTCTAATCCAAAATTTTAATAAGCATTGATTATAGAATTCTATAATCAATGATAAAGCAAACTAATCCATTCAGGGGGCAAGATGGCCCATTGCCCCCATAACGTGAATTTTCTATATCTATTCGACAGCCGATAAAATGTATTACCGTTAGCGTTTCGATCGTGCCCGTTTTATCGGTCGCCGTCAAAAGCAAATCTAATCTAATCGAATATTTAAACTTGTTTGATGCAATAAAATGTCTAACCTTGGCGCTTAAATGGACTTGCATTGCTTAATTGCTATAGAAATATTAGTATTAACTGTGAAGAAGTAATTTACGAATTTGCCAAATCTAAAAGACGAAATGATTTTGTTCTGTGATCATTTTTTAATATTTGTTATATATTATTATTAATTATATATTACGTAATATTATTAATTAAACCATTTATATTACTTATCTAATTATTTTATTTATTTTATTGTACTGATAAACTGGGATTTAAATAATAATATTTACTTATTAGCTTACATAGTATGTACAATGTTTTTATCGGACTTAGGCTAAAATTTCATTTAAATGCCCCCCTTCCCCCGTAAATATGTTCTAGATCCGCGCCTGAATCCATTATACCTATATAAGTGTTAGCATATTGTAAAATTGAATAATTTTTATTCAAGTTATCTAAACTAGAGAACAAAATACATAATGATAAAATGATACTATATAATTATTTATTATAATAATTTTACTTTATTTACCTATTATATTAATTGTGATAAAACATTTAAACTCTAGTAAAACTCTATAGACTTTGTATTAACTATTAAGTAATAAATATTACTTTATAGTAGGTTAGTAGGTTGTATATTGTATATATATAATCATAGAATCAGATATTGATGGTATTGGTGTATGGATCATCTATGTCTTAATGCCCTACGACAGTGAGTGAGTATAACCTATGACACAAATCTAATACTTACTCAATGGTCTGTATCTAACACAGAGCAATATAGTTCTGTGGTATCAAATTACAATTTACATAATATTTACATGTTAAAATCTTAATCTACAAAACAAAATTTGATAAACTTATCAATTGACAATTATCACTATTCTCAAATCACTATCGGTAAAAAATTAAAATCGTTCCGTTTCAACTTTCAACTATAGTTTGTCTCGACTTGGGCATTCGAATGTATAATAATAATATGATATAATTATTATTAATATTTAAGAAAAAAATAGTTAGTATTTACTGCCTTTACTTTTAATCGATTTTTGTTTTTTCAACCATATGTTTTTTTTTTTTTAGACCAATGCATTGAGTTAAACTTAGTTTTGTTAATTGTATAATGTCGCAATAGCTCAGTTACTCAAACAGATAATGTAAAAACTCGTTAATTTTGGTTTTTAGTTTCAGATAATTAGTGCAATCAGTTAGTTGTTGATAATCTTCCATTACACATTTTCAATAGTATGTACCTCAAATGTCTTTTAACTTTTGAGCTTAATATTGGAGTTTTAAGTTGTTTTATTATTGGTATTTAAATATTGCAGTATGTATTTTGCTGTCCTTGATTAACTTAGTGCATGTGTGTATGCTATATGCAATATGCTTGTGTTATAGTCATTTTAATTGTACGCTGGAGGGGATTTTTACTGACCATCAAACATATTCAATGAGCTAGAATATTTTGATTACATTACATTCTATTTTAGTCAATGATTCACCTTTGGATATCCAGTATGTAAGTATTTATCAGTAATTTGTTTTCTTAATTTTGTGTTTAATATATATAAAATATTCTACATTTTGTCACAGTTTATTACATTTAATAATTCATTTTTACTTGTACAATATTGAATGGTCATAGCTAGAGCTGTGAATTGTTAGAAAAATGTATTTTTAATCTACTTATTATTAAACATAGCTTCTTTAACACAAAGTTTAAAAAGGTATTGCCTAATAAATATTTGATTTATTAGATTTTATTTTTATTTAATTTTTAATACTTTTCCACCAATTATATGAATTATTTTTCATATTGGTTATGTAAATATTGTAAGTATGATGTGCTTAATTAAAAATATCTTTGATTTAAAAATATTTTACTCTTGAGATTTTTAAATTATGAATTTTGTATATACTTGCAGCACATTTTTTACTAATATGGTTAATAATGTATTTAGTATTGAATTATCTGTGAATTATTCAATTCTCTAAGGAACAGTCCTAGGCCCCTAACTTTTTATTACTTACTTAAGTGGGCTATTAAATCAAAATATTGGCTGTGGAAAAATATTTTATTTTACTGATGATACTGTTATTCTTTTTAGCAGCTACTGTCAAAATAATATTGAAAGCATAGTAAACACTGGTTTTGACACAGTTAAAACTTGGTTTGATAATAATTCACTTCAAATTAATTATGATAAATCTAAATTCTTATAATTTAAAATTAAAAACATTATACATATTTGGAAATTAAAAAGTTTATTTTACATAATGAATCTTGTAAGCAAGACAGCAAAAACTGTGAAAGTGATTTCCCAGCTATTTTTAAGACAAATAAAATTTAATACTCATGTCTGCATATTGATAATTGTTTAAAATAAAATGTACATATCGATAAGTTAACAATTAAAAACATTTTTTTATGTGTGTAAAAATCTTAAAAATATCTTGAATAATAAACTTAAATAAATGTTATACAATCTATATGGTTACATATAGAATTGTTTTTAGGGATTCTGCTTATCAAACTCACATAAATAAACTTTAGTCCACATTAAACTCTTTAATTAAATACCTATTCAACAAGCCAAGACTATTTGCTATAAATGTACTATATAGAAAATTATAAATATTTTGCATTACTTCGCTTCATTTATTGTTTGATTACACCTTATTATTTAAGCATAAAAATTCCATTAAATTACCAAATCGTTCTCATTATACTCGTTATAAGCTCAATACTAATTTAACTATTCCTAAATTTAAAACTTGTTTTGCACAATCAGGGCCAGACTATGTATTTGTAAATGGTTGTGTTAAATTTAAAATTAGCCCTCAAAACTTTTACTATTTTCATTATTTAAAAAAAATTATCTCTGCCATTATTTATATTATGTAGCTTAACATAAGTTTATACAAGTACCTACATTAAACATTATACTGTCATTTCTTATTACTGTAAAACCGCATTATTAGGTTCTATGTTCTATTTTCTCTTTTATCTTGGTATCTATTTTATTTAAATTCCCAAAACCAATATTGTTAAGTCTTAAATCATAACTGTTTTATTATTATTTATGCTTTTTCACATATTATTCATTGTTTAACTTATATCATTAATTAATTAATTATTTATAAACTCACATTTCCTCACAGCCAATGGCTCGGAAGTGACCAACTTCTGTTAATTCAATTGTATTACAAAATGTAAAATTTTTAGTTGGAAAATAAATATTATTATTTATTAGGTATTGTTTTTGAAATTTTAATGCATTAAATTAACAGAATTATAGCTTTATCATTATAAATAATATAAATAACCATTAATAAATTTAGTGTGCTTGTTATAAAAATTAATAATATTTATTAATTTACTTACTTATCCATAAATAAATTATTCATATAATCAATCAAAATGATGGAACTATTTTTAAATATTCTATCACTTTTTAAAAGTTTTAATACAATTTTTGTAAATTTATAGTATACCCTAAACTTCACTTTTTTTTAACAATTTAGAATTAATAATAATTAACTACCTATCTAAAATAAGAATATCAT